TTAAGGAGAGACGTTTGATTGTGTGATACACTGCACTGCATTTAATTTAGGATATATTATGGAAGAAGGAAGCTCTATGTGATTGGATATGTGATTTCACTCTACCCTGTGTTGTCGTTTAAAAACATCACCAGACATCCAGATTATTTTATTGAACGGCAAACATCTCCTTATCTACCTCGCTTTTTTTTTTACTGATGTGTTTCTGGTTAGGGTAAAAGTGCTGGAAGTCCGGCTGTAAATCATCATGACTTTCTTAAAAAACCACGCTGAAGGCGGGACGCTGCACCCACGCCCACATGTTTGTTGGTGGGCTTTCTTGTACTGCGCTGCAACTGCGCATCACCACAGATCTCCAAAGCTGCGCCTTGCTTCTGTTTCCTGCGCTGTGGTGAAGCATATGTTTTGCAGATCGATTTTCATATCCAGAGCTTGCGTGCACACAAACAACATTTAACGAGAGGAAACAATACATCCACATTGACGCTCCAGAAAGCCTGGCTGACTGATTTCCTTTAAGATTTTGGATTACTCTTGAGCACATTTTTTTTTTTTTTGGGGGGGGATAAAATCCAGATGTTTTTGTTTTTCCTAAACAAAGGATGGTGCACCCAGTGATGCGAAGTTGTTAAACCACGAGGAATCAGATAACCATTGTTGTGCCTAGAGCTGCCCCGGACTTTACGCAGACACTGATAGCAGACGGTAGGATCATATTCATGCGGCTTTTACGCGCAGGTGCTGCACGCTGAACAGAAACTGTAACGGGATTTGGTTGCAGAGGAGGAGGATGGTGGCGGAGATGGCGAACTGTGGAGCGGCTTGTCACCTGGAGGACGGGTATGGTTTATTTTTTTTATTTTTTTTCCAGTATTCTCTCCTAATATGAATACTGACTTCTGGCTTTACATCAGTTTTTCAGTTTCATTGTGCACAAATCAGACTAACATGATGCCTGTGTAGTGGATGCAGCGCTCAAAATCGCTCCCTCGCGGCAACACAGGAAGTGTGTTGTGTTTTGTGTTTCATTCGGTGGTGAGATCATTTTGTGCACGTTTAAGTAAAAGTAGTTTTTGAGATTATACTCTTCACTGCAAACATTATGCAACTGGACTTAGATCAAAGGAAAGTAATGTGAGTTTGCGGATGTGTGTGTGTGTGTGTGTGTGTGTGTGTGTGTGTGTGTGTGTGTGTGTGTGTGTATGCCGCAGTGTTTGTTGTTACATAGTGGTGACTCACTGACAACAGTGTAACATCACACTGTGGAGACAGAATTGCAAACGAGCATCATGTTTGAAAATACGAATGGTAAAAAGCCGAGTTCATGAAGCTACACAATGTAGGTTAAATACCAACAACTCAATTCTAATCACAATACTGTGGGAGATACTGTAAACTAGTATAGCATGCTCACTGCACCTTAATCTGTATATTATAATCCTAAGAATACACTTATATTTATAGCATTTATTCATATTTATAGCATCCCATTAATCCAGCCATCCATATATACCTAATAATTCACTTTTTTTAGTCTACATCTGTAAATTTGTAATTACTGTACATAGCACAGACTCTTGCACTTTCTGCTTATTTGCACTTCTGGTGAGATGCCAAACCTCATTTCGCTACTCTATACTTGTATATGTGTAATGACAATAAAGTTGAATCTCATCTCATCTCATCTCATTAAAACAACATATTTATAAATCTAAAGTCGTCCTAAAAGGTCATACAAAAAGCAGGCTGTTAAAAGTTAGAGCGTTAAAACACATGTGACACAAACATGTTTTAAACAAAATGCATTCCAGTTCCTTTTCTCTAATTGAAAAGTGAAGAATACTCCTTATTTGATTCACACATATCAGTTTATTCGATTTACAGAATTCAGTCTCAGTGGTTTTAAAACTGAAAACCACTGATAGTTGATGTGATACCGATGACTCATATTCCTCTGTGTATACTACTGCTGTTGTCCAGGTATTATTCACACGACAATGAGGGCTGGAAAAGTCCCTGAATGAACCACAGCAAACACACCGGCTCTTATAAACGACACACTACATAAAAGTACTTTAAAAGACACTTTATATTAGAGTCAGTATAGCAGGACAACATTCACTTTGTTGTGTTTATGGCCCTCTATAAACATCCCAGTGAAAGTAGTGAGGTGTCATATTAATAAGTGAAAGTACCAAAGGTCAGCTGCTTTTGTACTTCTGTGTGTATTGTGTATTGTTTATTTGGATCCCTCATTAGCCACTACCTAAGTAGCGACTACTCTTCCTGGGGTCCACTCATACAAACATGAATTTAAAATCCACACAATTTAAATGATAAAAAAACAAAAAAGTCGAAGACGGAACAGAAAAAGATAAAATTAGAAATAAATGACAACACAATAACAGGCAAAGTACAAGTATCAAGAACACCAAGATGAACCTATTGCATGTCAAGAAGGTAATCTCTCAAATGTCCACGTTACATCTATGCAATCAATCAGCGCTGGACAAATCTTATAATTATTTTCCTACTTAAAACACAGCAGAGTAACTAAACAATGACATACAAGACAAACATATACATACACACACATATACACACTATACATAGAAATTCTACACTAATTAGCAAACATTGGTATTACAATTGATAAGTTCATGAGAGTCTCAGTGACACTAGATGTTTCTTTAATCTCTTTTTAAACACAGTTTTACTGGTAAGACTGGTAATATCTAATGGAAGATCATTCCACATCTTCATTCCTCGATACAAAGCAGTACGTTGTCTTGCGTTAGTGTTTGAGGGAGGAAGTGTAAAACAACCTCTTGAAGCATGCCTAGCATTGAAATCATGACCATTGCAGCTGCAAAAAAAAAACAACATTTATGTAACATCTAGACAAACTGACAGTTGTTTATCTACACACAGATGTCCACTCTCGTCTTTGTGGTCATGGGAAATTGTGTTTAGCATGTGAATGTTGCATCCCTTATCTGTCAGCCAGCTAGAGACCAACACCCTCACAGAGGATTTTGTTATCATACTTTGTAGGCAGAACAGAAGATAGAAACATAAAAGTCTGAGAGACTGGCAGGTAGTTTATCCAATATTGTAGCTTTTTTTTCTTTTTAACGCTGAGATGATCACTATGGCAAATAATGAGCCTGGGTGTTGCTGTGGCGAGACATGGCTTGCCAACAAGTTGACCTTGAACAGAAGAAAGCATATTTCCTGGACGTGAAATGTGAAAACAAAGGAAACCAACGTGCCTTATCAGGATCAACACATGCCAAATAAAAGCCCACATTCGGGGTCGGGCTTTAATAAACCTAATTTCCTGATTCATCATTTTTGCTTTTGATCACACTGTTCTGAAGTTTGAGGGAAAGACACAGGGCGGGATGTGACCTACTTTTTCACGCATCCTGGTGGTGAACTCGTTCTTCTTGTCTCCCCCAGATGTAGGCAGCTCAGGCGTGTTGCCTCTTGTCCAGACTACGTCAACAGGTTGCTCCAGTCCTCTGCGCGCACACACACACACACACACACACACACACACACACACACACACACACACACACACACACACACACACACAGCATCTGATCTATTATAACACTTGGACCTGACTCATTGTTTGGTGATAAAGTAAATTCCTGTACAGTAAAGCACTTATAATATTTAGATAGATTTCCAGACAGGATGAGGTGTTTGTAACGTCTCTTGTGCAGGTTAATATGGTTTAATTAGGGCTGCACGATATGAGAAAAATCTGCATGTGTGGAGTTACTTTGTTTGTTACGGTGATGGCCTTATGACGTTCAGTAAATAAACAAATATTGAAGAGCTCAATCCAGCTAGATTTCTCAGGTTCTTATGCTGTCTTCATGTTTTACACGATACCTATGTTTGCAACCTGTCATTGTCCATGTATCATTTACTCAAAATCTGTTTTTTTTCCATCACTAAGTAATCCAAAGTCAATCAATCATTATTTGTATAGCGCCAATTCAGAGCAGGCCGTGCATGGATGACGACGGCGGTGGTTGTTGTGGGGGAGGCTTCTAACACAGTGACACAGAAGGGGGAATGATAGCTGATAAGTAGCCTGAGTTTTGCAACATTTTGCAGATGTTCATATTGTGGTAAAGACGAAGGGCACCTGACCGGTAGAAAGTTTTTTTTTTTTAACTGATCCAAATCTCAGTATGATGAATGTAGGCAGAATCAAATGCAAACTCATTACGATAATGACCAACGCCTTCATGTGTAAAACAAAACTATCGTTTACTCATTCTGGCAGTTCAAATATTGTCAGAGTCAATGATTAAGACACCGAAACTGATAACACTATCTGATCATATCATGTCAATATCATACCACTGAAAACAATTGTTTAATGGCTATGAATCAGTAAGCCCAACTGCTGTGTCTGAAACTGAGTGCAGAACAGTGTCTGTATAAAAAAAGAGATAGTTTTGTTCAAAGACACAACTTCCCATCCTGTATCTTTCCATGCGTGGTTTCCTGTACCATTAACGCTGCTGTGAAAGTGGGTCAGAGAGGAGTGAGGCTTTGTGTGCGAAGATGAATGTACCGTTAAATAGGAGGTGTCAGAAGTGTGTATGAGGTGCACATTTCCTGTTTTTTCAAATTCGTTTAACTGTGTGTGTGTGTGTGTGTGTGTGTGTGTGTGTGTGTGTGTGTGTGTGTGTGTGTGTGTGTGTGTGTGTGTGTGTGTGTGTGTGTTTCTATCTGAAAGCAGAAGTGGCTTTAGTTCAAGAGCCTGCAGCTGCACGGTTATAATGGGTCACTTCTAACCTCTGGATTCTTTCTTATCATCATCACACAACTCAGACGACCCTTACATGACTCTCTGTGTAATTTCAACTTGTCTGACTCTTATCTCCTCTGCCCCACAGAGACGGAGACATCCCTGTACCTGGTAACAAAGGTAAACATCAACCCCCCCTCCTTTTTTTTCTTTTTTTTTTACCCTCCTCGCTGTTGACTTCTCTGTCTCCTTTCACTTTCACATGACAGGCTGCATATGTTTGTGTTGTTTCTTCATACAGTCATTGTGCTTCGTCTCTCCTCTGGCCCCTTTTAATATTTAAAACTATAGTGCATCCCCATCCATTATTTCTCCCTGTTGTTTTTCCTTCACTTCTGTATCCCTTCTGACCATTCTCTCTGTGAGGTTCTGCCCTTCCTGATTTCCATATTATTTGCCTTAGAGGGCAGAAAGTTTTTTGCATATTCATCCTATTACTTGTGTCTGAAGTTTTACACTTGTTTTTTCACATAATGCATACACATTTTTTCGACTTATTTATTCATTTATTTGTTCCTTGCACAAAGGGCAGGTTTATACGTTTTTCTTCCTCCTGCACTTTTTCGTTCTTGGTAAAGGCAAAAATGAAAACAAAGTATTCCTCTACATTGTACTGCTTAAAAATAATGAAATAAAACAAATGAAATGAAATATGTACACACAATTTAAGATATATATTTTCAAATGTTCTCTAATATTGGCTTTTTCCATTGAGAGTGACCTTATCTTTACCTCTTAGGATTAAAACAGAGATCTAATTGAATTAAAAAAGACACTCTGTTGTAGACATGTTAATAATAGATAGCGATAAATAAATGGTCAGGATTAAAAATGCAGAGATCAGACTTTTCTCTTCTCAAATGATTACAATCAGAGCTGCAGTTATTGATTTCCAGTCATTCAAAATAAAAGCAATTACCAGATACTCTATGGGGATAATTTATATTTTGGTCTTTTTTTTTTTAAAGTAAAAACGCAAACAACTTTTCTTAATACTAAACTTAAAAAAATAAATAAAACACACTACAGGAACGGCTGTGGTTCCGTGGTAGAGTTGGTTTTCTCTCAACCGAAAGGTCAGTGGTTCGATCCCCAGCTCCTGCAGTTACATGTCCGATGTGTCCTTGGGCAAGACACCATAACCCCAAGTGGCTCCTAGTGCTTCCTCGGCAGTCGAAGGAATGCTTAGATACTGATGGTCACATTACATAGAAACCTCTGTCATCAGTGTGTGAATGTGTAGGTGTGACTTGCGTTAAAAGCACTCTCTGTAGTCGGAAGACTAGAAAAGCGATATACAAGCTCAAGTCCATTTACCACTCACGAAGAAGTTCTCCGTTCTAGACTCTATTTTTGGACACAATTAGAAGATGTAATTTGGAGCTTGGGCAGAAATAAGATGAGCTTTTTTCGAAATATGTTTCATTTTATTAGACTAAACAATTAATTTATTTATAGAGGAAAAATAATAAAACATCATTCGATAACTACAATACATTTTAGTAACAGTGAAACCACATTTCAAGTGACTAACGATGCTTCTTAATTCAATATTAGTACAAAATTCAAAACTTCTGTGTGGAACATGGTGTTTAATACATCAAATGTGGCTGGCCTGTTATGCGTTAAGCCCAGTTGCAAAAACTTTTAAAATTGTATGATGAGATACACTAAAAACTCTATTTATTTTGCATCAATAGACTAAAAGGTTAAGCTTCACTGCCGTGCACTACACAGCCTCTTGAAGCACTTTCCTTTTTTTTTCTTTTGCTATTTTCTTTTACACCAGCAGATGGCAGCAAACACCCATGAAACTAACCAAACTTTAGAAGCTGCGACCAAGTGTGTGTCTGCATGTTCATGTGTGTATCTGTGAGGGTGTTTGCTCTCCACCTTGTTTGTCAGGCTGATGAAGGATGAAGCCATGCCAGGGTGAAGAGGGATGCCTGCTGGCAGATGAGGCTGCAGCAGAGAAAGAGATTGGCCATGGGAGGCCATCGAGGACAGAAAGAGAGAAAAGAGAGTGAGTGAGGGGAAGAGAGGGGAGAGAGAGAGAGAGAGAGAGAGAAAGGAGAAGCAGACGGATTGAGCAGAGTGGAGGAGAGAGAGAGATTGATGAGGGAGGTGCTGTGAGTGGAGCAGTGATGGCAGCATCTGCTTGTTAGTCTAAGATAAAACTCCGCGAGCCATAGAGGATGGGCTCCATCCATTAGCTGGCCAGGCACTCAGCCAGATGGCCTGGTCCACGGACATTCACTGCTGCTGGGGAGAGAGAGAGAGAGAGAGAGGAGGCGGCGGTTCCTCTGGACCCATCTGTATAAATGTGCCAGAATGTTAATGCACGGCACTTATCATAGTCTTCTTCACAGGGTGCCACAGTTCATCTGCTCAGGAATGATAAATATGTAAAAGCTGGTGTAAGTGAGACATGCTGAGGGCTTTTTTAGATGACTAGTACGGATAGGGACTGTTTATGAAAACACAGAAGTAAACATCAAGTAGATGTTTTGTCTTCACCTGTTTGGAGAGTCACAAAAAGTAAAACTTGGTACTTTTATCTGTTTGTCTGTCTGTTTTTTTTTTCTACACAAGGAAAGGTTAAATCAGTGGGAGAAGTGTTCATGTGGCTGCATCAGAAATTGTATTCTCTGCCTTGAAAACAACACATTTTCCATCATAATGTAGGAATATATATACAGTATGACCCAGTAATCAAGAACACTTCTCACATGTGAACACCATTTCATCATTTTTAAACAAAAATGAACTAACCTTTAGACAATCATACTGTTGTGTTCCAGATAATCTCACAGAAAGTGAAGGCAGTGGTTCAGGTAAGCACACATATCATACCAAACTCTTTCCATCTTACTCATTCGTAAACGTTGTCATCTGTTGATTACTTTTTCATTTCCATGAAGTCTTCTTCCCTTGTAACTTGTAGCCCTTGTTGCACGAATCTGTTTTACTCGTCACTTATTGGAAATTCAGTGCAAAGCTTCCCACTCATCCCTTTCATTTTTGGTTTGTCAGAAAACACAGGGACATCCACTGAGGACAGCTCCGAGGAGGAAGAGGAGGACAAAGAGGGGGACGAGGACTCTGGTAATATATTGTCATCCTGTCTCGTGTGATACAATTATCAAGTCCCTAGTACCAAACATCATTACTCTCACAAATATATGCTACTCTTAACAGATTTTCCTGGCAATTAAACTTATTGTCCAACAGGTTAGCTCTTTCCCACTATGATCTACCCTTAGTCCCAAGCTATTCTAACTTGCAGCTCGCAGATTCTTTATATTAACTGTTTGAACGTGAGACTGGTATTGTCCACATCCAAGTCAGTATGGAAAGCAAGTTAGCATATTCCCCCAAAAATGTCCATCTCTTTTCTCATCTTCCCTTCTTTCTCACATGTTCTCACCAGAATCCTTTGCTGGAAAGGATGAAGGAGAGAAAGGTAATTATCACCGTTGGCATTTCAAACCCCTTGAAAATCGTTATAACTTGAGATTTGAACCGAGTTGATCTCCTTTGTGTTCTTTGCAGACGATGAGGAGGCCGATGCGGAGGAGTCTATGAGAGGTACGACACTTCTTGAGAAAAATATTAATACCTCCCTTGTGAGATGAAGCTACTGGTCAGCTTTTTAAAAAACTATTTGTTGTGTACACTGAGGCTGCCATGTTTGCTTGTTGCCAGGGGTTACCATGGATTCAGTCACAGCCCATCTTTAGGGCATCAATACTACATCATTATGCCAGATGACTGATGACTTTTTAGAACATGGTGTATTTTGTCGCGTAGTTGAACGTGCACCTCGCCTCTCTGACGACCCAAAATAACTTCCACGATCGAAATCGTTTGCCAGAGTCTTATCACAGACATTTGGCGTCATGTTTTTCATATACGGTAATACTGGACTTGAATTATTTAATCTTCCAGAGTCCGTTTTGAGACCTGGAGCCGAGGCTTCTCATGGGAAAGGTAGGCAGAAATCTTGTAATAGAACATGATTACTGTTCTGCAAATTGAGTTGTGTGCCTAGTACAACATCATTACATTTGTGTGTGTGTCATGATAGATGAGAGGCCTAAATACTGCTGTGAAAAATGCAAAGCCATCCAGCAGGTGAGCTCAGACACTAAATACCTGTCTGCACAACCTCTCATATATACACATTTATGTACCTTCTCTTCTTATTTTATTATTGTAAAAACAAACTATGTTGGTTCCATTGACAGAGCCACAGCCATGAGCTTGTTACGCCCAGGAAGATCAGTAAGGGACGATTACAGTGAGTACCACAGATCAGGTCTGCTCTGTGCACACTCAGAATGGTTCTGCATGTAACTCATCAGTTATTTTTGTGTAGGGTTCAGCTGGAAGGAGAGGGCACGTACGAGTGTTCGGTCACAGGTTTGGTGTTTGAAGCGTCAGAGCAGGTCCTCCTACGGTACTCGGTCTTGTCCTGGTCCAAATTTGGCGCGTTCCTGCGGGACTCCTGGAAATTCGCAGGACCCATCTTCAACGTGGACACGGTCGGTAAAGATGCTTCGGTCCTCAGGTCCATCCAGTTCCCTCACTCCGTCTGCCTCGCGGGTGAGAACAAGGTTTCATGTTGTCTGTGTTTTAATATTAAATTCATTCAAGTGAAATGACCAATCTTGAGGCCTTTACAACAAATGCTTATTTTACAGAGAGTATCATGAACGTCACCTTTGATGCTCAAAATGAAAAAAAAAAACCTATCTTTTTTCAAAAATGTCATCCTCACACAGATCCAGAAAATGAGATGACATTCAGTGTCCTGCACATAAAAGACAACCGTCCGCTCATTGAGCCCATAGTGGACCACTCAGGTAGTCATGTGAAGTGGAATGTGTCGTCCCTGTCGCCCGTGGGTCCCATAATTCAGACAACCCAGTCTGTGGAGCACCACGGGGTGGTCCTGGTCTACAAGCAGCTGGGCAGTGGCAACAACAACTACAGCTTCCATGTCTATCTGGCCACCAACAGCGCATCTGACATCAAGGTAAGCATTGGGGAGTATTGTGTAGTGATTGTTATAAAATCATCCTAGACGCGGTAGTTGACTAATTTAAAAATGAAGGTAATTTCAGGTGAAAAACAAAACTGTTGTCCTGGGGTCAATCTGACCCTAAATTCAATCTCTTGCTGTGAAATATGTTTTTTATTCATCAAATGGTCTGAAAATAATGGGGTTTTTCAGTACTATGCTCTTCATGATTAAAATAAATTTGAGGTTATTTGATTGATTTATTGTTTTTTTTATTGAATTTACTAACGTCTGTTGGGGTCAAAAAGACCCTGCAGCACAAAGTGGTGCATTGGAGCAAATGATCACACCACACTGCTTTCTAAAACATCTTTGATCTTGGATATTTGATTTCCGGGGTCAAGCAATAGTTATGACGACAACAAAACTCAGTTTCCTGCACTAGTGAGGTCTTTGACTGTATTAGTTTACGAGCAGAGAGTTGAAAGATTTACTGGTAAACTAGTGGACAGCAAAAATTCTTCATGTTAACAAGTATGGTGCAAAATATCTACTAGTTAACTAGTGAGGCTCGGTATGGCCAGCCCTTTAACATTAAATGAGTCTGGCTGACAAGTGGCAATTTAGTTTTCACTATTGGAAATTACATTTCAACATGTCAAAATGTCATTTTGGTCAACATATCAATAATGTCATTTTGACTTGTAAGAATTGCATTTTAGATATCTAGAATTAATTTGTGGTATCTGTAATGTAAGAACAATTGTAGATATCATAAATGAACTTTGTCACTCGTAAAAATTGAATTTTTGATATCAAGAATGAACATTTTTAGTGGGAATTGAGTTGAAAATTACATTGTGGATATGTCGGCTTGGAATTCTAACATGTCAAAAAGCAATTATTGATATCTGCAATTTATTTCTCATTTTCCTCAAACAGTTTACTAGTAAAGGTATCTTTTTGGCCTCTGCAGCAGCTCCCCCTCACCCAGCTGCCCCCCCTGACCCATCACCCAAAAAACAGGTGTAAATTCTGCCCTCGCCAGAGTGATCGGAAATGTGCCAAAAATGCAGAGCATATACAGATCATGCCATTACTACCTGCCTCGCATGCAGGCATGTAAATGAGGTCGTATTGGCCTTAAATCTCAAATGGAATTTAAAAAAATGGTGCTAATGTGTTTGAATGAAGTTGTTACTAAAGGTGTAACACAGAATTGGGTTAAGAATCCACTTTATATTCTCTAAATGACAATCAATCCGGACGGGGTCAATTTGACCCCAGAGGACAGCAGGTGTGATTATTTGTTGCCATTCATAAAATACAAATGAATCAAACACAGCATCTTCACTAAACTTATACTTAGACATAGACATATACCACTCTGTGATAAGTCAAAGAGTCAAAATGATATAAAGTCAACATCATTTTTTTTTCATTTCTTTTTCACTTAAAAACAGGGTACCTACATACTTTTATGTAAACAAAGTCTATTGGCCCTAAATTAAAAAAGGTAATGGGTTGGACTGAAGTCAGACTAAAGGTGTAACACAGAATTGATTGAATTAATTTATGTTATATTCCTCAAATTACAGTCAAACCAGACGGGGTCATTTTGACCCCAGTGGACGGCAGGTGTATAGCAATCAGGAGGACATTACGAGGGTTAAGAAGTTGAAGATTCCTGTTGTTTTTATGTGGGGTTTTTTTAAGGCGTGCAGGCGATTGTACATGAATAAAAAGATTTCTGTTTTTTCTCCAGAGTTTTTAGTTCTTGTTGTCTTGCAATGTCCCGGTATCTGTTCCTTTAAGGTGATTCATTTCTGACGTTATAATACTGGATACATCCCTCACACAAGGTTATTGTCTAAATTAAAAAAAATTAAAATGCTCTTCTGAATCCCAGCTCCTTGAGACAAATATATTACACATTTAATCAGCACCTCTTCTGCACTATTTAAAAACAGCGTTAATGAGCCAAAGTCAAAGTGACAACCCTCTCGTGACTCTCCACCTGAAGGACCTTTTTCTTTTTTAAAGTGAGGAATTTTTGCATTCCCTCCAGCAAAAAATACAACAAACTTCCTTAAAAAAAAACCATTTCCTTGCATGCATAGGAGAAATAAATATTCCATTCATGAGACCATCACCTGAGTCCACCTAATTGTTTCTTTCATGATTTACTATTTCACCAATCATATAAAACTCCAGCAAAATGCCTGTAAGAACGATGAAACTGCATGTGTGTGGGAAAAAAAAGAACAGAATGATAGCCACAAATTTCACTTCTTGTTTTGTTGTTTTAAGTCTGGACTGACGTTGTTGTGGTCCCTCAAGAATAGACATCGGATTGCCAGGCTTTTTGAATACACTGGAGCAGAAGTCAAACTGAAATTTGATGTGATGTTGTAAGACTTCATTGTCAGGTTGCAAAAATACTGTAATATACAGAGACAGAGAGAAACTCAAACTCAGGGTTCTGTGAAGAAAACCTGCCCCTAACAAGGTAAGGTTCACAGACTCAGTTGCCATAGTAACAGACTCAGAGCTAAAGTTACCTCTCTTTCTGGAACGGGCTTGAGTTTCTGAAAGAGAAAACCCAGAGTTTCCATCATTTCAGGGTTATCAGACTCAGAATTTGCAGTAAACCTGCTTTCTGAAACAGACCTCTTGTCAAATTGAATGCCAAAAAGTGTTTTTAATCAAAATAGTCTGATTCGGCTGCTTTGTGTATGACTGTAAGGCCACTGTAATTGTACCGTAATTCTGACAGCTACATGATGAAAGCATTCTGACGCAGGGGTCACTGTGGAAGTGTGTGAGGGTGCGTGTGAAAGGATGCAGCTGGTGAGGAATTGCCAGGAAACATGTTATAATTCATGTTTTCCCATATGATGAGTCCCATCACTAATGGGACTAAACTATTCATTGGTTTCTTCTTTTAATATCGCCTTCAGTTTTTACAATCCTACCCTGATTAACTATGATTCAGCTCATCCTCCGCTTGACGGTGACTTTATCTTCTGTCTTTCTGCTATGTTGCTAATTTAAACCAGGATATACGCAAGCAGGTGCAGGGCTACAAGAACCGTTACATCCGGATAGAGAAGCCCCCCACGTGTAAACTGGACGAGGGGACGTATCGTCTGCTGAGCGAGCCGGAGGGAGAGATCAAACCCGAGGTGTGTGTGTCTCTCTTCTTCATATACGTGTGTATCAAAAGTAACAGCAGCATCATCACCATCTTAGTATTTGTTAGACAGTGGCTGCATATGAAATATTTGAACACTCCAAATATTTCAAGTTCACCAATCAGTCCTGACAGCATTCTAAAAAAAAAAAAATGTTTCATTGAATCAGTTTTAACTTTTAATATCCCAACCTGTTTTGTTTCTCTGCATAACATTCATCACAATCCATGAAACAGGACGATAACAGTGAGCAGTGAAATAATCAGACAGCAGCAGGAACCACTAGCCTTTACAACAGGAGGACAAAACTACAGCCTAGCCTCACACAGTACACACACACACTTAATGATCCATACAACCTTCTCCACTCAGGCTACAGATACAGATCTCTCACCTTCAGGACTAAGAGATGTCAAGCTTTGTGCCCCACATCCATCAGACTCACGAATGGCTGATCTAATTATTTATTTATTTTTAACACTACTCTTTTTAACCTTTCATAAAATGATGTACGACCTATTTATCATGCCTTTGATATGTCTCACCATGAGGCAGTTCTTTTCTTACCGCTGTAACTTTTGCTGCTTTGCTAAAATGCTCATGATGGATATGCCGGATCTTTGTAACATAACAATGAGTGAGGTCTTTTACCTGCTTTTTGTAACATAACAATGAGTGAGGTCTTTTACCTGCTTTTTGTAACATAACAATGAGTAAGGTCTTTTTACCTGCTTTTTGTAAAGTGTCTCGAGATAACACTTGTTATGAGTTAACGCTATACAAATAAAAATTGATTGATTGATTGATTGACCAGGCAACATGAATGTTTATTCATTTTTAACCCTAGAATCTTGAGTATTATGTATTGCTGATCTGTCATGCATCGTTTGTTACGGCCTACAAGCTTCACTCACTCAGGACTCTTTGATTTTACATTTGGATGTTGATATGTGATACGTGCTTGTGTGTGGTTTGTTTTTATACTGTGCTGTCATTCGTGTGAGCGCACTGATGCTTTTATTTTTACACGACTGAAGTTCCTGACAGATAAATCATGTGATTTGAATTGAATTGTCTCTGTGCAGGATTTGAAATTCACCCTTGCTGTGACTAAGATGAAAGGCTACTTTGAAGCTTTCTTTGAGCAGCCTCCTCCCTTTAAGTTGTCTCTCGTAGAGATCGACACTGATGAGACTGTTTGGTCAGCCACCATCAGAGAAGGTAAGCGTCAGTTTGGTCTCACTCTGGAGGTATTTTAGGATTTCCAGGCGAATACTTAACATCTTGGTGTTGGCACAAAAAAAAAAGACTATGCTTCACTGAAAACCCAAAGTTTGTCACACATTTCCTTGTGTTTGGATCCGTTAAAAGTGAAAGAAAAGTTCATCATATTGTATTAATATTAACCTCAAAGTGTTGACTGCTGTGTTTTTTTTCTTGTGTCATTGAGTTTCTACTTCAGAGGGATTTTGTCTTTTTTTCTATTCTTAGGTGACTGTGTGGGTGACACAGAAAAAAAGCCAAGGAAAAGGACAAACAGTAAGATTCCTGTTTTTCCATCACAGTTGTTGTCCCTTAAATAAAATCTCTGTCTCATCTAATTTAATCTCTGTCTGTCACAGGCAGGCATGGGAGCAGCAGCCCGTCAGAAGGAGAAGAAACAGGCTGTAAAAGACCTCGATGGCGGGACGAAACAGGTGACTTTACTCACTCTTACAAACTCAAACTCAAACTTACAAAAACACTTTGAGGCACAACTTTGAGTTTGGCCCTCAGTACTAATATTCAGTGCCTACTGTATGTGTGTCCAGATGGGATGAAAACAGGGATCACTCAGGGTCAAGAAATGTCGGAGAAGCAGCTACTGCAGGTGGCCAAGCGGCTCGGGAAGGAGTGGAAGCAGGTGGCCATCTATCTGGACTTGAACTACAAGGAGCTGGACGACATCCAGGCAGTAGAGAAAGATGTGACCATGCAGAAGCTGAAGATGCTTTTGGAGTGGAAGAAGAAGAGGCGACCGGGAGAGGCAACGGCATATCACCTGTCGAAGAGTGTGGAGGATCTGGAGGACCTTCCCAATGAGGTCCATCAGACGCTGCAAGGTAAGAAACTGTGGATATACATGATCTACTCTATATTGTATAATGGTGGCTGATAACCTCAAGTTAGAGATGATTTATCTCTAGATTTAATGACAAATTGTTAGCATATGCTAATGCTAATATACTTACTGTGTCAATAACGTGCTTATGTTTATGAAGTTTAACACCTTGGTTAAGTCTGTCAGCACATAAACATTAGCTTATATCTCATAACACAAAGTAAAGCTGAGGCTAAGGGGGTTTCATACCCAGAAATCAAAATACTAGAAATATTGAAATTAGACCTGAAGATGATAAAAAAGAAAACAAAATACTACATTTTCTGGACACATTTTGTGCCAATCCACATCAAGCTTTTTGAGACATTTAGTCCCTAAACAAACTGGTCGACAAACAAAGCACCATTTTCAATCAGAGCCACGCGGGTATGGCTATATATTCCAATGATTTGCTGGATACAACTGTTAAACTTTGCTGATGTTCTTATTCAAATTGAATTAACACTTTGAATTGTTTTGCCTGCTTGGATTAAATCAACTACTTTCTGGCACCACATCATGATGTTGACTTGTATGATGCTTAGCAAAACCTGGGAAGACTGTTGTTAAAGATGCAAACACAAAAGATAAAAATCTTTATTGTTATAATTGTCGCGGCTTTAAAGAAAATAACTTGTAACAGGCACTTGTCTTTCTTTTAAAAAATGTTCATGTGTTTTTATTCATCATTAGATTTATCTTTGTTACTGTATATTAACACCATATATAGTACGTAATTGTTAAACACGTTATTTTGCCTTGTTTTGTTTTTTCTTCAGGCATGATGGACAATCAAGCAGCTAAGTGAAAAAGGACTTCCATTGACTGATGGATTTCTGTGTCTTGAAAAGAAAAATCTCAGGAGTACAACAAAGCAAAGAAAGGTTGACAGAGCAAACATCAGCTTGATTCCCAGTTTATTTCTCTTTTCTGGACTTGAAACTGAGTGATGGTTTATTTTAAAGCTGCATTTCATCAGAAGAGCCAGAGTCTTAACACCTGATGAGCATTTCCAGACTTCAGTTCAAGCGTAGTCTCTTCCTGTGATGCTTACAGGAACAGACTGAACATACAGCTTCCTTTGTTTAGCCTGGATTTCATTCTTTGCATTTCAGGTTTAGAAAAATGACCAGTACAGGTAGAGGTCATTGAGATATTTAGTAGCTAATTATGTAGCCAGTAACAGATGTACTGTACTGTAGGTGCTGCAGTGTTGAAACTGCAATAGAAATGGGGGGAAAAAAAACCTGTGTATGTTATTTCAGTTGTAAATGTTACGTTTGTGGGACTTTTTATAACAGAATAAGGCATTACACCACTTTCAAATACGTTTGACTTCCCGAAGTCAACAGACTGAAATACTAAGGACTTTTGAGTCTCATGCATTTTTATATTTGTGCACTCTGTCTTGTATATATTTGTTTCTGTTTTCAAACTTGTGATCTATTTTTTTTTACATCAAATTTTTTATTTTTACTTTTTCTAACGTGTAAAACTTAACTAATGTATAGAATAATCTTCAAATTTGACTTGAATTATGAATCCATTCCTGCCCTACTGCAACTGGAATGCAGTTGTCTTGTTTACATCTAAATGATAATTGTGTACATTACACAAGTATGCACTATGCTAAAGAAAAACAAAAACTATCACAAGCGATTCGGGGATGAATTTAAAGCCTGTGTTAAGTGCAGCTAACAGCTTACAGGCGACATTAATTGACTTTAATGAGACATCTTTTGCAGAAGATCATAGCTGCAGAGCTTAAAACTCTTTCTATCTGTACAAACAAACTGTAGCGTAAGATGCCTGTGGAAATAGTTCACTTAGACGTTCTCACCAATCTTTGTTGTTACTGTTTGGGAGAAGCTGGAGAAAAGTCGCATTGAATGTTGAGTCTGTTCTGTTCTTCCGTACCAACAATGTTTACATCAGAGAACATCAACATGTTACCACCAACAATCACGCCTGTTTTTTTCGCACTTGTTTCAAACATGTCAGAGCCCATAAGAGGAATTGTGAATAAGCATAAAGAGAAAAATGTTGACTGAATATAACATAATAATGTCTCCCTGTTTTACTTCAGTATACCTGCAATGTTATCTGTAATTAAAGCTCCTGTAGGGACTTTGTAACTGGTTATGAAACAGGCTAAATATATATTATTGATGCCTCATTATGTCCTATAAAAGCAAAGAAGACCATCAGCTTGAAGATAAATTGTTTCTATATCGTCATTTTAAAATACCTGAAACCACTGCCGCAGGGAAGGTGTCACACAAAGTGATTGGCGGCTGAGCCTCAGT